GTACACTATTTTGAGAACCCCACATCAGAGTGAACGGTCACTCTAATGACCCTTGAAAATGTACATATATCGAAAAGATGCTGGTTGCTAACTTTTGAGGTGTGCGGCTCAAAACACTTTAATACAAGAAGCCCAAAATCGAAAAGAATGGCAGAGTGCGCTTGGCTTGTCCAGAAAGATTATTGACAAGAGGACCCCACACTTGCTGTTCATGCATTTTTTGTATTACTGGACACAAGGAGTTCTTTTAGCGACATAAACAGGTGAGGCAAATTAAGCAGCAAGAAGCGCAGTAGATAGCAGATGCGATTATACGTTTTGCACAGTTCTGTCCAGCGAAGACAAAAAGATGTCAGCAACTTTCCGCCTCGATTTTCAATACATTCAGACAAATATTTGTGAAAGGTGAGTTTAATTGTTAGGTGGAGAAAGAATATCCTCATAAAATTTCGATTTTCAAGCTCGATTGGTTGTTGAATCGCTATTAGTGGAGAGTGTAAACTTGGCTGAACTGTCATATACCCAATCGTAGTAGTATAGCTTGAAAACAGTCCGGACCAAAAACTACTATAAATGGCAACGCGCACCAGACTAGCCGGTGCGATCATGCGTTTTGTGCAATTCAGCCCATCGAAGGATTGCCTATTAATGATTTTCACTGCTTTGTACTTTAGTCTATGCAAAAATAGTTCAGACATTGGAAAACAGTTAAAAATTTCACGCACCAACGCATGAAAGCTGAATTTGAAACCCTGAAGGATGAATACCTTTCTGTGATTCCCGAGTTAATAGTTTACCCGCCGAAATTTTCACGAGGCCGTAGGTGGTAACTGAGAGTGCGAGGACGCTGAATTTGAATAGGCAAGGTTGAGCGGGGCAGGAGGTCATTACCCTAAAATTTCAGCCTCCTAGGCTCCGTGGTTCCCGAGGTATTAACTTACCCGTAAAAAACTTTGACGGGGCCGTACGTGTTACCCGCAGGTACGGGAAGACTGAATTTGAGTGGGCAATGTTGAGCGTGGGCAGGGGGTCATTACCTTAAAATTTCAGCCTCCTAGACTCCGTGGTTCCCGAGATATTAACTTACCCGTAAAAAACTTTAGGGGGCCGAACGCGTTACCCGCGGGTACGGGAAAGCTAAATTTAAGTTTGCGGGGTCACACGTGGTTGGGGAACGTTACCCTAAATTTTCAGCTTCTTAGCTTTTGTGATTCCCGAGTTGAAAGTTGCGGACAAGTTGTTGCGGACACACAAACACACACACAGACAATCCCGTGACAATATGCGTTTTGTATTGCTGTTACACAGCACTAAACGCGTAATGAAAAAGCTCATTGCTGTAACTGCCTCTGGCATCAAACAAGAAACATACTTTTTCAGCAAAACGCATTGTGTAAGTTTGTATGTGACGCCACATTTGTCGTAAAACTTCATTAATTCGACGTTCTTCTTCCGACAGTGTCGTAAAACTTTCTTGTAGTGGTGCTCCCAAGAAATTTTCTGGCAGACTCTCATGTCGTTCTGCAAAAAAAAAGTGCCCGCATAAATCAGAAAAAGTGGTAAGCAAAAATAAAGACTTTCTTGGTCATGCTCAAGATATCATTTGATCGGATTCGACTTAAAGGATGAATGCAACATCATTCATTACACAGCTAGTTTCTCTGGTACTCCTACCAACAGCCACTGGCTAAGCAGACATCGAAATTTTCGCAAAATACTGAGCTGAGGTGTAGGATCATTTAGCCCCAGTTAGGCTCTGCTGACATTTCTTATCCGAAGAGGAAACAAGGAAAAAGAAAGGCAGGATTACAAGTAGACTCACCAAAAGGTGATGCAATGCGACCTGAAGAAGTTCCTTGTCCTATGTAGATACTTTACTATTAAGCTACGGCTGAGGCGAAAATACTGATAGTGAAAGAAAAAAAAAAACACCTGCAACGTGAAATACTTTCTCCTAAGCAGATGGAGGTTAAAGCGGCAACTCGAAATAGAGTCCCGGTTTATCACTCCGAAGTGGCTGCACTTAAGAATAAAAATCTAGGGAACATGAACCGAATGAAGAAAAAGACAAAAAATCGAACAGAAGAGCACATTAAAAAAAGGTATATAAGCAAAAACAAATACCTTTGACAGTGCTCGGCCCCGCTTCATCGCTTGGCTTGCGATTGACGCTTTCATCGTTTGTACCATATGGAGCAACGGTTGGCTTCCTTTCAAAACTAACATTTCGTTTTATGGCTTCATTCGGCTCACCTTCTGCGCCTGCAGCTTGTCGTTCAGCTCCCGATGGACTCTGTGCTTCATCCCCGCTTCCAGTATAATCGGAATTACTATCTGCTGCGCTTCTTGGTCTTTCCTGAAATCACACATATAGACTGGCCGTGAAAAGATACCCGAATAAATGTGAGCGACCAGTCAAGAATGCGAAATCAACTTTTACACTTTTCTGAGTATTGATTTTTTTTTTTAAAAAAAAAGATAACTGGAATTCCAGGACAATTATGCGGAACGTGAACTAACTTGCACAGCTGATATCTCATGTAATCCAGCCTAACACTGTCCATGCCAAATGCAGAGGAAGTTGATCGGAAGAAGTGTTTTTCGGAAACGATATCACAAAAATCCTCTACCGCAGAACTCAAAATAAACATACCTCAATATTGAGGACAGCGCACATACGATCCAAAAGACCAGGAACTTCACGCAACTGCTTCCGGGCAGTCTGAGGCCGAAAAGTCCAAGCATGATCGATCAAGAAAATGCTAAAATTTAAAAAAAAAAATGAAACAAATTACATATTCAAAAAAACATAAAAAATAAGTGGAGCATACATATCGAAGATGGCAACATTATGCCCAAATAACGCAGTTTGGAATCAAAAGGCTTGGCACAGTGAAGTGGGATCCACACGCTGACTGTCCGGACGATCTTGATTTTTGGGACATTTAAATCTCAACATTGGAAAAGATGTTGCATTGTGTTATAACTGCTTCCCGCGTCTCAACAACGAAACAACTGGCCGCGGTTTGAGGCCCGTTGACTGGGCAAAGTATCTGGATCACAACCACTGAAATGGAGGAGTTCCACGGCACATCCACCCTAAGCAACACCCGTTCCTTCCAGTTCGAACTGATACATTTGCGTCTAACAGCCATCTTCGCTTTTTGTCCCATGCAAAACGCAACACACTTATAATATGCCCGCCTTATCCTTGGCATGCAAACAATTAGAGGAAAAAACGGAGAAAAAAAGCAATGCTTAAAATATAATTAGAAATGTTTACAGTCTCGAGGTAGTACTTTTCCAGTTTAGCAAACTTTTCATCACAAACCTTGTGATTGCACGAAAAAGCAGCAGCGGCAAGTGAACGGCCTGCAGGCTATTGACGACGACGCGAGAAAGTAAAATATGATGCTAATACATTTGAAATACCGGCAAGCGGCATGAAATTTTGGACTAAAACGATACAAAATGCCTAGAGAGAAACACTTTTTATGCGTTTTTTTGCAGCTATGCAATGCAAAAACGCATATTGACGAGGGGTTGTCTGTGTGTCTGTGTGTGCGTCTGTCACGCACTTTCATCTCAAGATCTCTAAAAGCTACAGGGCTGAAAGTTCGGGAACTTAATCTACATGCACGTGCCAACCTCAACCCCCAAAATTGACGTCATTACCCGCATGGTACCCACATACGGGTCCGTCAAATTTTTTTTGGGTAAGTTCATAACTCGGGGATCTTAGAAGCTAGAACGCTGAAATCTTAGGGGATATTCCTCGCCCTAGCAGGTGTTAATACACTCAAACCCATCCCCCTGGTAAGCGTGGTACCCTCGTATGGGCCCACCAAAATTTTTTTCGGGTAAGTTCTTAGCTCGGGGATCTGAGAAGCTAGAAGGCTGAAATCTTAGGAGGATGTTCCCCGTCTAACTGGATGTTATTGCATTCAAACCCACCCCTGGGTAAGCGTGGTATCCGCGTACGGGCCCGCCAAAATTTTTAGGGTAAGTTCATAACTCGGGGATCTGAGAAGCTAGAATGCTGAAATCTTAGGGGGATGTTTCCCGTCCAAGTAGATGATTACTAAAGCTAGAAAGCTGAGATTTTAAGGGGCTGTTTCCCGCCAGTCTTAATTTGTTTAGCTAGAAACATTTGCTGAAAAAACCGATGCCGGTAGCAACAAAAACTGCGGGGAGCTATGCAAAAAACGCATCTTCGCACGGGCAGCCCGTGCGTTGGTCAATTATTTCCACTGCGCAAAGAAATCATGCCAACCGCCTTAGGCTATTGCACATGCCAACACTCTAACACACACGCTTCCGGCCAAATTCGCTGCGTTGCGCCAGTAAATTTCGGAGCAGCACGACAAGACAACGCAGAAGTAACAGCTGCACAGTCCGGACGTTGAGAGCTCAGCTTACCTGTTTGGATCTTGGGCACTGAGCTGTTGCAGTGGCACCACCGAATAGCTATGCTCGCCCTCTTCGTTCACTTCTTCGAGAATCTGGAAGAATTCGCCCGCATCAAAGATCTCGTTGACAAGTTTCTCGTGCAAACGTCGCCAGAAGTGTTTCGGGACGCCAGCCACCGTAAGCTGATGATAGTGTCGCGATTCGAAGCAATCGTATGTCTCCTCTCTCTCTTTCGCAGCCATCGCTTGAAATCTGCAGAAAAAAAGGGGATAGGCATACCGAGATCTCGCCCGATATTTCACGTAGAGACCAATAATCAGGGGGAGGGAGGGAGAGAGCAATGAACAACTGAAGTGGGCCCTCAGAAGCTGTGCATATTCAGGTAGATGAATTCTGGTGCAATTTGGACCATTTTTCTTGCATCCTGAAAAGGCCGCAGCACAGCAGCACTCAACGACATCCCAGGAAGACAGCAAGGAATTTTGATCCCGGAAAAATGACCAGCTAGAAGCATAAAAACAAGAAAAAATAAACGACCAACGCAACGACTGCCGGTGCGAAGATGCGTTTTCGCATTGTTCCCCGCAGGCTTTAGTCACTAACGACACCGGTTTTTCCGGCAGATGCTTCTAGCTAAAAGAACTGACTGGCCGCCAGGACTGTCAAGAAACAAGTTCAGCTTTCTAGCTTTCCTGATTCCCGAGTTAGCAACTTACCCGCAAAAAACTTTCGCGAGCCCGTACGTGAGTACCACGCGAGTAAGAGCGCCTATATTAGGGATAGGGGAACTTAATCTATGCGTATATACAGATGAAGTTCCCAACTTTTCAACCCTGTAGCTTTCGTAGGTCTCGAGATGAAAAATCGGTACAGACGAGCACACACAGACAACCACTCGTCAATATGTGTTTTCTGCACTGCATAGATGCAAAAAACGCATAAAAAGCAAGAATATATATTGACAAGCAGTACGGTTCTGTGTTTTTGGAATAAGCTGTTGTGTGCAACCACAACTGATGAATACGTCAGTAGGCAGTACATTTCTTGATAAGAGGAGTCCTCTTTGATCAATCCAGCACATGCAAAAGCAGCAAATCCCTCTTGAGATTTGATATTAGCCAATATCTTACGGAAGAAACTATAAATTTGGAGATTGGAGATCCCCCAAAGAGGTGGCATAGATGTAGTGGGACAGGCGATAGGAACTAACTGGAGGGGTATGTAGCCCTCTGAACTGGCATAGCTGGATCTCTGATGTGCAGGAACATCGTAGTAGCAGCAGTGTCTTCACTCCTGTGATAATGGGTCCGATTTCAAGTGAGGAAAATCGTGGTACCGAGTTTTTTCTAGATGCGGGGTTCCCATCAGCATCAGATCTGACGCTGAACTTAAAAAACTCATACGGCCCCTGTTTCATCAGCCTCCCTTCCCATTCGTTCCTCTAAGTTAACAACCCTATCTTCTCCCCTCCACTACAAACCCCGGTACCACTCCAGGCCCACCAAAAACCTTCCCCCCTCCCCTGCTTCCTTCCCCGCTACCACTGCCCGTTCTGTCACCTCCCCACTCCGCCGTAATCGAAAGGAACCTCCACGCGCCTCTGAAATCGCCAAAAAAACTGCAATTACAAAAACCTTGCTCGGCTCGGCCATATACGATCCGCAAAAAATTTTTTCTCCCTACAGCTGGTAGAAGGCTGCCCCACTGCAGATGGCGGGGATTTGAGTGAGGCAAGTGGAAGTGTGGGTGATATGAAGCGGGTTTTCATTCGAGGCAGGAGAGGGGGGCTGACTTAGGTGGATTTAACGACTAAATGACGTAGATCCGTTGTCGGTTGACTAAACCACGTACATTTGGCGAGGAGAAAGGGGGCGGTGATGAACGGAACGGATGAAGAAGTGTTCTCGTGGTTTTCACCGCAGATATCTAAGGTAAAGAAAGATGAAATACTGCGTTTTTCCACAGTACTGTTGTAATAGGGATGGCGAGAGGCCTAAATTTTGTTTTCGGGCAGGGTTTGAGGACAGGGTACAGAAGGGGAACGAGGATACAAGTCAGGAACTCGAAGCAAGAACTAGAAACAGCAGCAGGGACAAAAAGGAGCACAGCACCATGAACAAAAGATAATTGGCCAACGCACGGGATGCCCGTACGAAGATGCGTTTTTTTGCATAGTTCCCCGCAGTTTTTGTCGCTAGCGGCACCAGTTTCTCCGCTGAGTAAATTAAAATTGGTTGCCAGAACTGCCAGGAAACACCCTCTTAAAATTTAAGCTTTCTAGCTTTCCTGGCCCCCGAGTTAGCAACTTACCCGAAAAAAACTTCCACGAGCCCGTACGCGGGTACCACACATACTCGGTGTCTGGGTTTGAGCTCTTTAATACCCACATCTTCTTAAAATTCCAATCCTCTAGCTTCTCAGGTTCTCGAGTTAGCAACTTATCCGAAAAAAACTTTGGCGGGCCCGTGCGTGGGCTACTACGCATACCCGAGGGCTGGGTTTGAGCTCGTTGAGACTTACGTGGACAGGAAACATCCCCTTAAAACTTCAGCTTTCTAGCTTTTTTGGTCCGCGAGTTAGCGACTTACCCGCAAAAAAATTTCAGGGCCCGTACGTGGGTACCACGCGGGTAAAACAGCCCATATTGGAGATGGAAGCCCGTACATGCATGTAGATTAGGTCCCCAAAGTTTCAGCCCTGTAGCTTTTGTAGGTCTCGAGATGAGAAATCGGTACAGAGGCCCAGCGCGCGCGTACACACAAACATACACACACACACACAACCTCTCGTCATTATGCGTTTTCCGCATTGCATAGCTGCAAAAAAACGCATAAAAATTAAAGCAAATCTGACTCTAAGAACAAAAGCAAAAGAAACTGAGGCTTTGCTGTTGGAAAACTGTTCCATAAAAACCCGTCATCGGTAGGGGAGCAGCACCTCCACTAATGACGGGTTCCTCCTACCAACCAGCACTCCCCAACCACGTCTAGCCCCCTCACCCCTACCCCCTAGCCACGTGATTCAGCCACCAAACGCTGAACAGCGCTACTCGGCGCGTCTGGCAAAATGCCAAAGAGTTTCGGCAATTGGCATCTCGAAATAGTGTTGACAGAGATGTTGGAACTCTTCGCAAACACCATCAACTACCAGCCGATCCCCAAAGGAGTCGAGCTGAGTTTTTATGCGTTTTTGCATATATGTAAATAGCAAAAAGGCATATTGGGAAGTGTCTGTGTGTGTTTGTGTGTTCGCACTTTTTGTCACTCACTTTCGACTCGAGATCCAGAAAAGCTAGAAAGCTGAAACTTTGGAGATATGTGCCCATGCCATGCGCGACCCTCCCGTTTTAATTTCATCTCCCTCGGACGCCTGGGTGCCGCGTACGGGCGCTTTAAAAAAATATGCAAATTTTTTGACGGGAAAGCGATCTTGGAAACCACACGAGCTAGGGGGCTGAAACTTTGTAGGGGTATTACCTGTACATGTACTAGCTAAAGATTTCAAATTCAGTCCCCAGGTATGCATGGTATGCGTGGTACCCACGTTAGAGCGTATGAAAGTTTTAGGGGGAAAATTGCTAACTCGACAAC